GGGGGGGGGGTTGGGGGTGTCCCGTCAAATTGTCGCCCTTGCATCTTTTCAATGCTTTTTAACTAGAAGGAGAGTTTGAGACATTAGAGTTTTGGGTCTACCTTGCTGAAACTGTGCAAGAAGTGGAGATGTGGAGGATTTCAGGTCAAGATATGAGATTTTACAATCGTATCTTGGGTAAAACCGATAGACTCTTTGAGGTCGCCGTGGTATGCATGTGCTTATAACCACATATACACACACACACTCTCTCTCTATCTAAGAAGGAAATTAAGTGCGTTTAAATAAGACAGTCTTGCAAATTGCATATTGTGGATGGAAAGCTCCCTTAGGAGGGCCCCCTTTCCCCGGCTAAAGGAATATCGTCATGAAATCTCTCATGTTAAGCAACACGAATTTCACTACCTACTTTATTATCCAAACTTAACAATTGTGATTGGTCATTCTGGTCATATGGTGTGCACTGATGAACACGTTAACTGTCACTACATCGGCACAAGAATACAAGTTCGCGAGGCTTGAATTGCGAGAATATTTCAAATCGCTCGCATTTAGGATTTTGTAATTCTTGACAACTGGCTTTGTAATTACTACATCACAATTTATAACGTTAAGGTCTCCGTCAATCTTTTTGCTTAAGAAAGTTGTCTCCGCCATGGTGAGGCATATAGAGTAGCGCATAAATTTAAGAGGACTGAGTTCGTGCCATCTCCTATTCAGTGCCTTACCCATCAGCAGTACTTTCACTCAATTGATTTCCCTCTATAGGTATGTGTCAGTACTAATGGAACTAGCCCAACTGAACCACAATCGCAACGGCGAACTCTTAGCCAATCAACTTTTGGATGTGGTTGTTCGAGTAGCTGCTGTTCGACCCTTCGCTGTCAATCAAATGGCCATTTTCTTGCGTTCCTGCAAAAGCATAATAGTGCATTCTAATAAGGCCAGTCTCTATGATGTTATATACGCTGCAGCCTGGATATGTGGAGAGTATGTCGGGTAAGTCAAGTATATATATATGCTACTTATTTAATTTAAGTAGTTGTGTCATTTTAGAATTGGCCTTGACTGTTCTTTGATTCCGTCTTAGATTTCTGGAGGAACCACAGCAAATTTTGGTAGCAATGTTGGAGACAGCTAATCTACCTGATCTACGAGGCCATATTCAGTCTGTTCTTGTGCTTAACTCCCTCAAGCTCTATTGTAAATTGGCTGTAAAGTGGTTGAGCGAATGTCTCAAAGGATGTAAAATTGATACTCCGGAATTGAAGGTGAACACCATGAAACCATCCCTTTCAGAGCTCCAAGATTTAACAAAGAGACTTTTGGAGTTGACAAATTTCTTGATGGATAAGATTTCACAATTCGTGCATTCTGCTTATTTGGAAGTTCAAGAAAGAGTGAGTGTGTGTATATAAACTGCCTTTTGTTGCATAACTTTCACTGGTAAGTTGCTGCAATTTATACCGCTAACTTATTGTTCCAATTAATTTGTTCCAAAGTATTCGATCTGCTCTTCGAATGACCGTTTAAGAGATGACGATATTTGTATAGTGGAGATTAACAAAATTTCATAGGTTCCATTCTTTAAAGTGACGGAGTTCTTTAGTTTGTTCATTTTTGTTTTGAAAATGAAAATCATCTTGCTCAACTTTAGAGTGATGTTATTTCTGCATTCCACTCGTACTATTCCACAACATGCTCCGTGTGTATGTGTGTGTATGTCCTTCGCAATTACAGGGCAGATTTGAATAAAGTTACTCGCTGTCCCTCCCCATGGATCTAATATGTTCTGTTATATATCTTTTAGGCGGTTTCCATTCATCAACTGTTGCATCTAATGGCTAAAAGACTCTCCAAATTCCGAGTTCAAAGCGAGACTCCCTCGTCATCACAAGTAGCTTCAAACGAGACTGCTGATTTACTCGGAGTTAACACTGAAGAAACGCTGGATCCCCTTGAGGATCTAGGAGTGTCTGACAAGTTGAGTGATGGTAAGTCAACTCAGTTTATTTTATTTAAGTAGGTAAATATATTTACCCTAATTAATGAATCCACTCAATGTGGTAATACCTATTTTTAATCTCCTCTAAATCTCTTCCAGATCACGAGGCAGATTATTCAGCTTCTTCAGCTGCTGCAGATAGCCTTCTTCGTGGATTATACGCTCTCACCTACGAATTGAGTTTGCTTTTCGAAGGTGAACTGAATCCTGTTGCTCCAAAAGCTCAACGGAAAGTTCCAGTTCCTGAAGGTCTCGATTTGGATGCTTGGATTAATCCACCACCACAAGTGAACTCTAACGCCTCCTCGGAAGGTATCTTCGGTTCGGAAAAAAAGTCGAAGAAATCGAAATCGAACAAGGAGTCGACACTCTTTCCAAAGTCCTCTGATGGCGGTATTTTCACTGGAATTCTTGCACCTGAAGTTCCAAAATCACGCAAACTAACTTCTGCTGAACTGGAAGCTGTTAGTCCTCGCATTCATTTTTTCTTTCAACTTTACGTGTGATTTTAAACTCCTTTCATAAAACTTCGTTTTCTTGTTTGCAGATGCGAAGGCAACGACTTCTTTTGCAAGAGTCAAATCCACACTACTTAAAGACGTCTAAAAATAGCGAGCCAACTCCGAATCTGCTGTCATCAGAAATGTTGGACACTTCGAAGCCGCCTGAACCTCAACCATCAAGCGGTAGGTCTGCTGAATTGAACATTTCGATGGGTGCGTGCGTGTGTGTATGTGTATTTTATCTGATTATGGAGTGAGTTTATTTCCGCCTTGTAGGCTTGAAGCTCGCCAACTCGGATATGTTTGCATTGGATATTCAGCGGCAGCTGAAAGAGAAAAGCAAAACAAAGCCGACGAAATCCGCGCAAGTTTTTTACCCCATGTTATTTATTTAATTGACCTTATTCATTCACAAGCTGTCTACCACGTCAAAATGTAGGTATGAAAATCCTAATTAGGTCGGGGTTTTATTAGGGGGTTGATGAGGTATTGACAGAATTGCAGGATTTCATGTTTGAAATGTTGAACTTTTCGTGAAATAACGATCAATAATTGCCTAATTTTGAATTATTTTTTTTTCATTTGCATGTAAATTTTATTGTCTCTCTTATATGGTAAGCATGCTCAAATTTCGTGGGACTATTCTGCTTGTCTGCTTCAAAACTGTTGAAAGCGAAGAGAATGGTTAATTGTCCCGTGTAACACAGTTAGACTTATTGTTCATGGACAGTCGCGCTAGTTACTATTATCATATCAAATGGCAGGCGTTTTGATAGTTATCATTAGTCCTTTAATTGACTTAAGGCTTCACAGGGTGAGAGAAACATCAAAATGTAAAAAAGTTGAGAGGGGGGGGGAACAGAAGAGGATTTCAAAAATGATGTAAGAGACAGACACAAAGGCAGCGAAAAGGTAAGATGAGTACTGTGGTAGTGGTCGAATATGACATACAGTGGGGTCATGGTAGTTTAAGTCAGAAGTCATCTGTAGGTTAATAGACTTTTGTGCCGTATGAGTATACGTTGCCCAGGATGCACCACGTGGAGGTAAGTCTATCGCACACCCCCAGTCGCGCTAGTTAATTGTTGCCATCTAAGGGTGCGGCCAGATTCGAGTTTCTCCTCCGACTGGCTCCAAAGCACCATTCGTCTACTTTAGTCAAGTACTTTGAACCCATACCGTAAGGAGCAAGAGGAATTAACAAATTCTTGAAAGGAGCCCATTGAAACTTGAAACTAAGATATTATGAATACACTAGAACATCATGTCAAATAAGTAGCATCTTACACGAATTCTTTAATCCCTGTAGAAGTCGGAATAAAGGATCTAAAAAGGCCAAGAAATCTAAGAAGCATGAATCTCATGAACCCGATTTACTTGAAGATGTGGCTATTGAATCGCCGGCAGATGTTGCCGTTAGTACTGTCTTGGATCTTCCAGAGGTGAGTGACTTATTTCATCATTCTCGCTTTGTTTGTGCTGTTGTGCCTTCAAGGCTGTCATCTGTGTGCTTTAATTCACACAGGGAGTGGAGCCAAATGAATTGGACTCAAGTGATGATGGAAATGAGGAGAACTCTAATGATCCTCATCGACTTTTGAACATCCCATTGGAGGATTTAACCCCCGCGCCCCCTCCTCCTCCACCGCCCCTTTCCAAGAAGTCAAATGGCAGGAAGCGAAGGCCCAAAACCTCGGTGAATTCAACAAAGACGGAAGAAACGGTGAAAACGAGCATTTCTGAGGAGGACTTCCTTAAATTACTGACAAGTTCCACGCTGACGTACTCAGCGAAGTGCAAAGTGAAATGTCCGGCGTCGATTGATGTGGTGAATGGCTTGAGCGCTCTTCCGATTGAGCGTGTCTTTGAGGATCTGTTGAATAAACTTTCCACTAGTTGTGGCATATCTGGTAAGTTAATTTGAGGATGGTGTGCTGAAAGTAGATAAGTTATTTTCGTATTTATGACAATTATGGAGTGCTTTAGAAAAGAATCCTCTTTTGTCGGTGTACAATAATTAGTATTGTCTTCCTACTAAATCGATTATTTTTTTTATTTCTAATGGCAGGCGTTTTGATAGTTATCATTAGCTTTTTAGCTAACTTCGGGCTTCACAGAGAGGAGGAGGAATATCAAAGTGGCAAAAGTAGAGAGGGGGACAGAATAATGATTCACAGGTGTAAAAGAGACAGGCAGACACAAAGGCAGCGAAAAGATAAGATGAGTACTGTGAAAGTGGTGGACTATGACATACAGTGGGATTATGGTAGTTTGAGTCAGAAGTCATCTGTGGGTTAATAGACTTTTGTGCCGTATGAGTATACGTTGCCCAGGATGCACCACGTGGAGGTAAGTCTATCGCGCACCCCCGATTATTATTATTTAAGTTGCCGCATTCGTATTTGAAAGAGGTAAGTACAGAGTATTACGAATGACAGCATATGGAATGCTCAATAGTTCACAGTCAGTTCTCACAATGCTCTCCATCAACTTCAATGCCCAACTCAACTTCCACAGATTAGCCATACAAGTTACACTGGTTGAATTCGACACGCGAATGCATTTTGAAGTGAAGGGAGCAATGGTGTGCTTCATTGGTGTATTCGCTAAATTCTTCTATTAGGTTGGCAACTAAGTCATTGCCGATTTCAAATAAGAAGGCAAATTTGGAATTTTTGTTTAAAAATATAACTTTATTCAATTAGATATTGGCCGTTCTTGTCGATGACCTTTTTCCATCGTTCTGGCAGAGTAAAAATTCCCCGTTCGTAAAATGTCTGGTCTTTGCTATTAAAAAACTGAATTAGGTGTGATCCGACATCATCCGCGTTGTTAAAAATTTTACCATTTAAAGAGTTTTGCATGGAACGAAACAAATGGTAATCCGAAGGCGCAAGGTCAGGGCTATATGGTGGGTGTGACAAAACATCCCAACCCAGTTCCAATCATTTTTGCCGAGTAACCAAAGATGTGTGGGGCCTTGCGTTATCATGATGGAAAACAGTTTTTCGAGTTCTTCAACATACACATATGAATTTATCGTTTGGTTCTGCGGCATGAGTTCAAAATACAAAATTCCTTTGTGATCCCACCAGACTGACAGCATAATCTTTTTGGGGGGTGAATCTCTGCTTTTGATACTGGTTGGGCTGGTTGATCTTGCTTCACCCATGATCTCTTGCGAGTAACATTGTTATAAACTATCCACTTTTCGTCGCCAGTAACTAGGTTCTTCAGAGATGGATCATTCTCATTCTCATTGCGTTTCAGTAGCGGCGAATCACAGATGCTAATCCGTTGCGTCAAATGAATTTCCTTTAACTGGTGAGGGATCCATAAATCAAGTTTCTTGACATAACCAAGGGTTATGTCAGTTTTTTTTCAATGCATGTATGTGACACATTGAGCTTCTCTGCAATATCTCGTGTTGTGCTGTGGCGATTTGAATCGATAATGGCCTTGATATGGGTTTCATCCACTTCGACTGGGCGGCCAGATCGTTGTGAATTTTTCAGTGAAAAATCACCGGAACGAAATCTTTCAAACCAATTTCGACACTGCCTTTCTTTTAAGGCTTCATCTCCATATACGGCACATAACTTCTTTTGTGCTTGCGATGCGTTCTTGCCTTTACGGAAGTAATACAATAAAATGTGTCGGAAGTGCACGTCCTGTTCTTTCATTTTTAAATTGGGATAAAAACAAAACTAAAGAACTAAACAAAAAAATTTTTTACTAATTAACCTAGAAGCCCATACAGTAGGAAAAAAATATAGGTTAGATGCTCTGGCCACGTTAACAAAACACAAGAAAGTATAGAGTGAATCTGTCAACAAAAACGGCAATGACTTAGTTGCCAACCCAATACCTCTCTTTGTGGAAACGATGGGAAAATGTATGCCATCCGTTGTATTGATTTTAGGGCATCTGCAATTCGTTAGAAATCTCTCGAAATTCTGTTTAGTGTTGTGTTTTTTTGTTTAATCCCCTGGCCGTTCGCCTTTACACTTCACTCGAATTTTAAACAGTCAGATCTTTGCTATATCAATTTGTTTTTTTTCTTTTTAGTGATAGAACGGGTCGGCATCACCGCCTCTCTCTACTCCGAATTCGAATCAAATCCGGTGTGTCTGCTCATCAAATTATCCGTGAGTTGTGGTTGCTTTGCTTTGCATCAAAGTGACTTGCCAGGTCTATTGGGAAAAGAGTTAGCAATTAGTAATAATCGATTAAAGGGAAGGTGTTCTGAAGCCGCCCATACATTCACCTTCTCCTCACCCCCCTCTCTCTCTCTTGTTGGTTACCCGCATCAAGGCATGCACATCCATTATAGACCCTCGAAATTAGCGGAACTCCATATTGACCATTGTGCACATCAATATATAAACAGAACTTAGTGCAGGAACAAGATGGAGAAGTTACCATTGAGGAATCGGGCACGATGAGTTGTAAAAGGGTTGCAAGAACAGCAACTGATCCAAAGACCCGCCACAGTCGTCTAGAACGGCTTGTGCCTGCATTTAATTGTATTTCTAGTTCTCTTTTCTCATTGGTCTGTGGTGGTCTGCCTACTGCCAAGCGAGATTGCTAGTTCAGCCTATTTCCAACTCACTAACAGCAGAATGCTTGTCTTCCTTTAGACTCAAACGGGTTCCGTCTCAATCGAAGCCAAATCGGCCCTCCAGTCCTCGGCTGATCAATTGGTGCAAAAACTTAAGCCAATCGTAAAGGCTTTTAGAGGCAATGATTGATTTATTGATTAATCAAGCAGAAGGTAAATGCCAACGCCCCCACACCCACGCGTTTTGTGATGAATTAACATATTGTGCGTCTTTCGTCCCTTTTTGTGCGTCCATTTTGTGTCCTCTCTACTCTCCGTGATTTGTCATGACAATGTTTTTTTTTGTTAATAACGACTCGTCAACAATTTTCTTCCTTCCTATTTATGTAATTGAATACGTAACTGCTGGAATAAATGCATCTGTTATTTCACCGAAATCCTGCGTTTTCTGGTGGTGGGGGGGGGGGGGGGGGGGGGGGGGGGGGGAGGGGGGAGATATTGATGCATAAAGATGCCAAACAATCGCCATTTCCTCTTATTGTTTTGCCTAACAATCATTGCATCAAGGGTTCTGCTGTAAGAACTGTCATTCGTAAGGACATTTATTTATTTATTGCAAATGGCAAGCATTTTGATAGTTATCACTAGCCATTTAGCTCACTTCGGGCTTCACAGAGGGGAGGAGGAACAGACAAAGTGACAAAAAGTCGAGGGGTGGGGAACAGAAGAGTGTTTCAAAGGTGTAAAAGAGGCAACCATACGCAAAGGCGGAGAAAAAGGTAAGATGAGTACTGTGGAAGTGGTCTAATATGTCATACAGTGGGGTGATGGTAGTTTGAGTCAGAAGTCAACTGCCGGTTAATAGACTTTTTTGCCATATGTGTATACGCTCCCCTTATTACCGAACATTCCTAAACCTCAAAAGTAATTACCGCGTGGAGGTAACCACAAAATGTTTGAAAAATAATAGAGGCTGAAATTGATGAATTGGCGATCACCTGGTGCTCAATTTCCGGTTGATATATGTCCTGTAAAGCACCAAATTGGCATTGACATCGGCAACCGACTCAATTTCGGGTCCTTTTAATGAAATACTAGCACCGTACTCTCCTGAACTGAGGGGGGTAAAGTAAAAATTCTCTAGGCCATATCACAATCTGTTTTCGCATTTGGTTTTACTCTTGTGCGTTCGTTGGACTTGGTAATATGTGATCTGCACTGCCTTTACAGGCTACGATAGCCTTGTAATCATTTACACGAGATTTTGTCCAGAAAGTAGGTGTTATATAGTGCGGGTGGGGCGGGGAGGGGCGGGGAGATGGTGAGGTTAAATCGATAAAACGTGGAAAAGGCAAGAAATGTGGTAAAATCGATAGAATATCACTTGTTACGCATAAGGGACTGCGGTGTAACAACGTGGTTGCCACTACGCCCTAGCACTTAATTATCATGTGTGGGGGAGGAGGCACCATCGATTAAGAATGATCGATGAATAATAAAGTAAAATTTAATTAGCAGATTCGCATTTCAACACAATTGTTATGATGATTGAAGGAGCTGGAGTTCTGATTGGCAAGCTATTTTTAGAGGTGGAACAAATTAAATCCAATAACCCATTTTAGGATGAATGATCGTTCTAGAGTTAGCGTGGAACAAGAGCCCATCTCGAGGGAGGAAACAGGTGTCAGGATAATAACGATTTTAAGGAGGTGATGAAATGTGCTATGACTAATTGCGCTTTGTTCGTTAGTCGGTGGAGCAGAGGTCAAATCAGAAAGCGCGCAACGCATATAGCGACTGACCTTGTAGTACCTGACCCCTCCGGGTCCACAAGGTCTTTGCAAGATTGAATATTGCCATGCAGTCAAGTTGAAAGCACACCCGTTTATGTTTTGAACGAAGTGCAAACTATCTAGTAAGTACGAATCATCTAACTGAACAGTCATTTTGTCAGTATTTTAGCGGTCCAGTACTTCACTTTTGAATCGAATGTCAACAAATTTTGTGGGGGAATAAATGTCACTTTTGGTTAACAAGATGTTAACTAAACGCATTTTTTATCATATTGACAGACCTCAAGTATCCAATTTGGCTGGAGTATGAATATTTAGTGTACGAAAGCCTTTTTTAAATTCCATTCCATCAATCGACTAAAAATACCTCATAGGCATTCCAAATGCCAAAATAGCACTTCAGGGCATGCAATAGTTCCTAGAAAGGCTTTCAGTTTCTCAAAATTTCGGATAAATCGACTGCATCGCCGATGTAGATGGACTGAACTTGTGTTAACTTCAGTAAAAATCAAATCTTAAAAGGATGTCCTCAACTAATCAATTTCACTTGGCCGCCGAAGGTCTAAGAGGACAGTCAATCTTATTCGTCACTAATGCTATTGAGCACATATTTCAAACAGGTCGATGCCTTTAGAACATTCTAGACATTCTAGGGTAAGTGCCAATAGTGCTATAGAGGCCCTCTAGAACCAATTGGGTTGGAATGAAACTACCACCTCACTCGCTGACCAAAATTAAATGCCGCGTCAAAAGGGTCCGCGAAATGGAACATTAATCGCAGCTCTAAGATGAACGAATAACGTGGCCAACCACGAAGAGTTTGGATTCCCTCATTTGCTTTTTTCAAGACGCCAACTTCACTTATTTGCATAGGCTCCACATTGAAAGGTTTTGTGAGGCCAAATTGGACTAAAGAAACTACTGTTTTCGAATATTCAAAGTACGCAACCTCAACCATTCTCTCAAATGCATGACCTCAAGAAATATGTCGCCTCCTCTTCAGGTTTTGTCAATGAGGTCCGGCGCATTATTGGAGGGATCCTCTCTCCCACAATTTGAAGTAAAGTACACGACACGAAACGCATTATTATTATTTCAAATGGCAGGCTTTATGATATTTATCATTAGTCCTTAAACTTTGACTTCAAATTTCCCCATGGGTGGGGGGGACATATGTAGCTGTTAATTAATAGCCGTTCACTAGATGTCTTCTTGCTTCCCAGTATCTCTGGCTTTCCGTTGTTGTCTTTAGGGCTGGACACCGAATCAGGTGGGTCTTCTCCATTTCCTCCTGTAGGTTACATAGAGGGCATGTGGGTTGAGTGTATACTCCCAATCTGTGAAGATGTTTTGCCAAGCAATCGTGTTCGATACGTAGTCTAAACTCAGCAACGGCTTCGATTCTTGGTCAGTCAACTATGTCGGAGAGTGCCACTGTTCACTGTTTCTCCTTTGTTCGAGCTTTAAGTTCGTTGCACCTTGAGATATGGAATTCTCTTCTGATTAAGGTCTTCATTGTGTGGAAAGACATAGGTCTGTCTCTGCCTGGCAAAATTATTGTCGCCTTCTTAGTAAGTGCATCAGCAAACGCATTGCCTTTAATGCCACAGTGGCCAGAAATCCATTGCCTTTAATGCCACAGTGACCAGGAATCCATGGTAGAACCACTGTTTTGTTTTTCTCTCTCAGCAGCTGATAGATTTGTCTACATTCCTTTACCTCAGTTGCGGCTCTCTATTTCCAATTGAGTTTATTGCTGACTGTGAGTTCGAAATGATTACTGCTTTGGTGAATTTCGTATCCAGTCAACACAATTGGCTTAGTGCTATCCTAATGGTCTCTATTTATCCTTCGAATGCGGATCTATTGTGTCCCGCTGTGGCTTAGAAAGAGAAGAGTTCAGAGTAGACACCTATACCAACGTTTTCTTTTTTTCTATGTATGCGCCATCAGTGAATACTTGGAGCCATTGATCTGCTGATCAAGGACCAATGAGCGCATTTGTTCTGGTGGGGTGCTTGATTTCCTGAAGTAGTCAAGCAGTTGGGTGCAACACACTACATTAGTGTCTGCTAATGTGTTCATGGGTAGGGGGGGGATTTTTGGTTTGCCATCGATTTGTTATGTTTTCTTCAGTTCAAGGGCTCTCTGTATTAGACCAGATTGCGTTTTCAGATGTCTTGGTCTATTCTCATAGGTGCTGAAGAATTTATCCATGGGTTTAAGGCCTTCTCTTTGATATGGAAAGATTGGATTTAGATAGAGCATTTCCATATCTGACTTTGCATGATCTTTGTCCAATGAATGCTCTTATCCAGTTTAACATGTTATGCTTAATACCAATCTTTGCCAATTTTAGAAATAGCTTCTCTTTCCATACTGAGTCATATGCTAATTTGAAATCGACGAAAACAGCCGTCAGGGTATTTCTTGTAATCAAGGGCATCTTTGATGTGTTGGGAGAAAGTGACTACTTGAGAGTGCAAGAATGGTGGGTTGCTTGGTCTCCCATCTTTGATGTGTTGGGAGAAAGTGGCTACTTGTTGGTGAGTTAATCTTTGTGGCCTAAAACTTGCTTGACCACTCCTAAGAATACTGTTGGTCTCAAGGAACCAGGTCAGTTTCCTGAGGGAGATAGGCCTATAGTTGTCAAAGTTGCTAGTGTCTTTGCCATTTTTAGTATTGGTATTACTATGGCAACTTTCCATTGGTTAGGTACAAGACTGGTCTCCCAGATTTTGTTGTAAAGCGTCAGCATGGTTTCCTTGGCTTTTGGACCCATTCTTATTAGAAATTTGGGATGAATACCGTTTTCCATAGGAGACATTTTGTAATTGAGTTGTTTCATCGGTGCATTAANCATACTGTCTTACTTGTATCTTTATATCTCTTGAAGATTTTCTGAAAAATCGGTTTTTCTTTTGCTTGTGGGAATAGAACCTCTCAAAAGATGTTAGCCATTTCGAAGTAGGTGGTAAGCAGTTTGTTTTTTAAACGTATTGGTTCTTTCATGGGTCTTTCACTGTTGTTTTGGAGGTTACCCAGGAATTTGAAAGTGCGTTGGCTATCACTTTGATAATTGATATTTGAGATGAACTTGCCAAAGGAGGTCCGTTTATCTTGTAAGGTGACTTGTCCTAGAACTGTGGGACACGTCATCGGATGCCTGCTCGCCAGGATTGGGAGGTGCGACCGTGCAAACAGTGACCAATCATTAACCTCTGTTTGTTTAACCTAATCCGCCATCCTGATCATGATTAAGCTTCCTACGTGTACACTTTATCCGCAACACTCGTACTGAGTAAGCGTGCTCCGTGCTACACCTCTGTTTCCTTTATAGCTGGGCTATAGCTTAGCTGATTCTGGGAGTCTAGCTAGATGTAGGAGGATCCGCCATAGAGATTTCTGAATCGATCAGGCTTTACTAAGGTAGCAATCCGCTACAGAACAGCTGACTGTCGTCTCCAGGCTTGCTCGTCTTCCGTTCTTCCAGTCTGTTTAGCTGTGTTGCAAAGGTCGTCCCGCTTTCTTTTCAGTTCCTCAAGGTGTTCAGACCAAAACACTCAATAGTGTTTTGGTCTTGCCTCGGAAAATAGTTTTCTTTGCACATCTGATCATAATATTCGTGATTTCATCGCAAAGTTTGTCAGGATGTTGGTTGAATTTGAGGGGACTTGTGTGAAGTTCATTCTCTTTCGTTGTCATGCTTTTGCTGCCGATGGCAATACTAGAAATGACTGGTTTGTGACCAGAACAAGGATCATCAATTATTTTGAGGTGCGTTTGCTCATTGATGTCTCTTGAAGCCAAGAGTAAGTCAGGAGTTGTTCTGGTTCCATTGTAATGCAGGTATGTAGCATGATCCGCATTGCTGTAAATGAGTTCTAGAGGATTGCTGTTAAGCAAGTCTTTAATTTCATTTCCAGTTATGCTTGTATTCTTATAGCCCCGTCTGGTGGAATGGGCGTTGAAGTGTCCTAATACTACAGTTTTGTGCGAGATGTTCAGAAGATCAAATTTGGGACTATTGAGGTGCGAGATGTTCAGAAGATCAAATTTGGGACTATTCTGGGGTGGATTATAAATCGCATATACTGTGAAGTGGCTTTGACATTTCCAAACAATTAATCTGATTATTTCACATATGTCTTGTGTCGAGCCCATACTCTTGATTGGATCGTAATGTGAGGTGAGGCCTTCTTTTTCTCCAATTAGATCGTAGTGTGAGGTGAGGCCTTCTTTTACTCCAGATAGGTCGTAGTGTGAGGTGAGTCCATCTTTATTACTCCAGTCTGGATCGTAATGTGAGGTGAGGCCTTCTTTTTCTCCAGTCAAAATTTCACTTTCTACTTGCCGGTCTTTAGGTGGAAGATACAAGGTGAAACCTGGGAAATGGTAGTATTTGAGTTTGTCATCCGTAAGGTTGGCTTCCATGATTGTGAATATGTCTATATCATAGGTATGCAGGATTTCCCCGATTTGGATCTTTTTGTCCTGTGACATCCCTCCAGCATTCCACTGAAGGATCTGTAGAAGTCGTGATTCGCCCTGACAATGGCAATTTATCTAATAGCTTCGTTTCAATGTAATCAAAATAATTTGAAGTCGAATGCCGATTAATTGACTTTTATACCCCTTTTAAAGGTAGTGCTGTAACTAAATTAAATATTTTTTAAAATTTAATATCACAAAATTTTTAAACGTTATAAAATAGTAAAAAAATTGTAAATAATCTTTACTACATTATTTCCCTATCAGTTAATAGAAGTTAATAAAAGTAAACTTGAATGCATCATGAAAGTTATGGCATGCCGTAGGCTTGACAGTTTAAATTGAATTCATAACTGATGTCGATTAAAGTACAAATTAGATAACATGGAAAATCGATATGATCAAGTTGAAAAAATACACTAAAGTGAGTAGGTGGGAGCCGAACTGTGCTCAGGGGAACAAACAAACAAACAAACATACAACGAATGAGCGAATATGTTTTCATTACAACATTTATTTATTTATTTATTTATTCATTCTATAGAGAATATGATGATGAAAGTTAGATTGGATTTTAAATAAGTTTGAGTAGGAATGGACAGATCAAATTACTCATAATCTTTTTTAGAGATCACAATATGGAGAGCGTTTCTCCATCAACTTAGCATCTCTGTGCCATATCTCTGTCCACGTTAGGTGCTGTTACAATGTCCATTTTAATGAGATGGGGTACAGATATCAGATAAACTTTGGCCCTGTGTCGTGTTAACGAAGCTACATTTTTTTGATGGTTAATATAAAATTAGAAAGAAAAACAAACGAACAAACACAGTAAAACCTGAAATTGATTGCAAATATGTCGGTATCATAGGTATGTAGGATTTCTGGATTAGGATCTTTTTGTCCTATGACATCCCTCCAACATTCCACTGAAGGAACTGTAGACGTTGAGATTCGCCCTGACAAGGGCGATTTCTCTTAGAGCCTTTTTTCAAGCTAATCATAATAAATTGAAGTCAAAATGCCGAGTGATAGACTTTTTTGCTGCTTGAGTATACGTTGTCCAGGGTGCACCACGTGGAGGTAAGTCTATCGCGCACCCCCCACGAAACGCATGAAGCCCGTATCTTACTCACTTTTAGACACCCTATTAAAAAAAACCCACCAAATTTTCGCTCATTTGCTCAAATGCACAGACTCAATAAGCTAAAAGGAACCCGTTGACACTATCATCCTTTCACCGATTTCAACAAATACCCTATTTAATTTCGCTCTAATCCTTTTCCCATTCCCATATTTATCCCACCTCTTACTGACCCCTAATCAAGACCAACCACCTGAGCAAGAAATCAATTGATAACCGAATCAAGTTTATTTTCTGGGATAGAACAAAATCCAGGTCACGATAAACTTCAAATATAACCACATTTTAGCAATATATATTTTATATAAAGACAAACATGTGTGTGTGTGTGTGTGTATGTGTGTACGAAGGAGGACAGAGGGTGTGTAGAGGCAGTAGGTGTACAAAAACGAGGACAAATGCACAGTCAGTCGAGACGATAAATCACCAATAGTAACTATTATCCTGATCACGAGATCGAGATGAGCCACCATCATATCGGTCGTACATATCGCCTGGAGCTAAAAATAGATGAATTGTAATGACAATACAAGTAAGATAACGAGGAAAAGGCAATGTCTACTAGCTGCTACTAGGTTATTAGAGAGGGGTACAAACAAACTTAGGAAACCGTTTTGAAGCGATAATATTGGGTGGAGGGGTTAGTACATCCTGAAGAGACGAATTCTTTCACCAAAATTAATCAGTGCGGTTGAGCAACTGACTCATTAGATACGCAAATGACTCGTGATATCGGATTTCACAAAAGAGCAAGTTAATCTTTCTGCTACTAAATCGTATAAGTAATCACTCATTCGCAATCAGTTCTGAACACTGAAATTGACCCAATATTAAGGAGTCAGTAGGTGAGTACGTCTGGCACATGTGTGTTTTAATGAGCAAGCGAGCAATCTCTATTCTGCCTCATTTATAGAAATAGCAGAGGGTGAATAATAAATGGACAACTATTAAACTCAACTCCTCTGGGTACACAGAAGGAAAATCTATTCACTTTAATCAATTGGTCCATCAACTCTACAAATTGTGGGATCTTAAAATGCGAAATGTTCGAATATAGCAATGAGCGGAGAATCGTGCGAAGTACGACTCTTGGAGTTCTAAAAAATACTAATCAAGCAACTACTCGTCCGATGTTTGGACTGCATGATAGTACACTGAGAGGGGGATACTCCTGATCATAAACTTTAAACAGCAATTAGAATACGGAAAGTGTTGATCGTGAGCAATGTTTATGCAAAATTAGATTTCGGAGGCATCTTCGTATCAAGGCCAACAAGTTTCAAATATCCCAATAGAAATGAAAGTATAACAAATTATCAACAAAATAAGCAAAAACCCATAGAAAAATTAATCAATCACAAGAAACATTGGCATTATAATAATAGATCAGATAAATTAAAAAGAGAGCACAGGCTTTAAGGATTCAAGCCAAGTTAACGGAAAAGTTCATTATAAGAAAGCATTAAACAGTGACCCCGACTAAAAGGACAACGCAAATTGTGACATACCGGGGTAATCTGAGGTCCAATCTGTATCAAGATGAATAAAAATTAGTTTGGATCTAACGAAAATTGGAAACAATGAGATAGAGGAGCAATGAAAGAGAAAATCTTCAAGCGATTTATGAATAAGTAGTACAGCTACATTAAAGTGCAGATTCTAAAGTACCAGAGCATACGGAAGCGCGAAGGAAATATTAGGGGAAATAATTCAAGAAATTATGGCTTTCTATAACAAACTTGAAAAGACAACGACATATAAGGCTCTTAAAAGATTTCGAAGTATAGCAGAGCGTGTAATCTATGTAAAAGTTCAATTACCTTTCGAATCTATTAAAGGGGAAAAGTAAATGGGAACATTAAGCCTTTACGAACAGCTAAAAGTTCATAAGGATACATTGGAACACAAAAAATAGACCTCCAATTTCAAACACTCGCGTTAGGAAAAGGACCAATATCTTGGAAAAGCAACTAATTTCATCTTGATCAATCAAACTTAATCCAAGTGCTTAACCATTCCGAATATTGACTATTTTTCGGATATGCTTCAACAAATGTAAACTTTACCTAAATCAATGCCGGGTTTCAGACCCCAACCCCNNNCCCCCCCCCCCCCCCCCTCCAATCAAACACAAAAAGGCGTTAAATCATAAAGTTGAATGAAAAGCGAACAACCGCATGAGTCAGTGCTTTAGATGCTATCAAAAATTATCAGGCTTTCCTAGAACTTTAAATAGCAATAAAATAATAAGTCGATAATTTCAACTTGTCTGTGATAAAGAGAAGACTCACCATTATCGAGATTTCCACCTTGAGATGATAACTGCGGCGGTACACCGTAAGCACCACCATTACCGCTCATGCTATCGCCATGTCTACCGCCTCCCATATCTCCGTAGCGTCGATCATCCATGGAACTGCCATGAGATGGATAGCCATAATCGCCACCACTTCCATAGTAATTACCAATATTACTGCCAGGAGCACCATTATCGTTATGGGCATCGCCATAGTAGTTACCACCACGCGGCGGCCCACCACCATATCTTGTAGACGACGTTGGAGGATTTGAGCCTGGACCTTGGGAAGGCGGGGGAACAGGAGCATTACCTCCAGAGTAGAAGGGTGGTCCATAATTCCAGGAATTCGGTGATGCCATACCTCCGACACCAGAATGCCTATCGGGACAGGATTCAAGAAAGAGTTCGATGTAACGTGAGCCAATCTTCTCACGATCTTTCTTCATCGCTTCACATGCTTCATCATGAGTAGCAAACTCAGCGTCGGCTTCACCATTAGGACGCCCTTGAACATTGTAATGAATTTGCACATTAAGCGGCTGAACCGGTGTGAAGAAGGCCGCTATTTCCTCAGTGGTAGTTTGGAAGGGCAGTCCACGCATCCGGATGTTATGTAATGGCCTAGGAGGGGGGCCACCATATCTGCTGCTGTCGGGTCCTCCATAAGGTCCTCTAGGGGGAAGGGGACTTGGTGGACGCTCATAACCATAGGCACCTGGTGGACGCGAGTATGGACCGGGACGATATGGGGGGCCATTTCTACCACCTCCATAGCCATAACCGCCTTCATCATAACCACCGTGATATGGTGGCAGCATTCTGTGAGGACCAGGAGGACCGTAATATGGCCTCTCGCCACGTCCTCGCATCATTGGACCACCACTGCTTCGTTCTAAAAATTTCGAAAAAGATATTTAAGGAAACAAAAGATATACCTTTATTAAAGCCCATGTTCATAAAGGAACGGACATTCTAGTCTCTAAATTAGCAACTCGCACTTTTGGCTACTCCATTACTGAAGAAAGAGCACAACAATACCGTGAACGCTAACCACAGAAATACATTACAAATAAACATTTAAGTGGCATTGTAATGTCATGTTAAACTTACTATTCAATTCATGTTGCTTGCGGATTGCCATTGAGGCTTCAATTCCGGTGGCATCGAAAATTTCAATGTACCTACAAAACAGCAGAGGTAGAATCAAGAGGAGGTTTGTTGGAAAATTGTAAGAGAAATAAGAGGGAAGAAATCACGAAAGCCACCCACCCCAAACGCATAAAAATACAAAAGCGGAAACCCAGTGCCCGCACTCATTACCTTCGCCCAATCTTCTCCAAGTGTTTTTCTTTTGCCCGTTCTAGCATTTCAGCCGAGGTGAATTGGACATAGGCCTCCCCCGTACAACGTCCCAGATGATCGACCAAAAGCCCGATACCGTCAGGAGCTATTGTCAGGTCTGAAGTATCACCCACAGCACCCACCCGATTGAAACCAGCCACCATTTGAGGGGAAAAATAAAATGTGAAAAATACGGCACCAATTAATCATAGTCTTAGACGCCAAGAGCGCAGTCTACATACGCATATAAAGCCAAATTCTACCAGTCTAAATTGAAATATAAGCACAATATGCCGTTTTAACAAACTGAATTCAATTCGATTAGAACTAATAATCCGAACATTTTACTGTGCTCAGAAAGCAGATGAGCCCAATTGAGAAAAATACAAACCAGAGCAATTTACAGATTCATCCCACTCATGCACCCTAAATTACGACCATGAAGCTAAAATTATACATTATGTGATAGGAATAGGCACCGAAACGTACAATCTTATAACGGACTCCGCTGAGTATTTGTTTTAATACGAATTCGAGTGACAAAAGAGAAGAGTTCGAACCACATTTCTATTTCAAATATTATCAAACACTATTAGGGACATACCACAAGTGAAGTTCGAAAGAGCTCAGACTTTCGATTTATTTCTCGTAGACAACATTTCAAACATCTTTTCCAATTTAGATTTCATTCAATCCAGGATTTGAAGAATTAATAAAAATTACGAACCCGATAAACATTAAACTGAATGGTATATTAGTTACCCTAGCCACGACCATCTCCAAGTATAAGTAACACCTGGCACAAATGAGTTCACACATTTTTAAAACCAAAAATAGAATGAATTTTAGGGAATAGAAAGCAAATCCATTAGCTAAAATAGGAGCAGGCGACAATAATTGTCACCCAAATGTATATGGTCTCAGATAAATGCCGAATATTGTTTCCAAAGATCCATATTAGACAGGCATCTAAGTAAAAACTAAGATCAGCGCAAATATAACCGATACAAAAGGGTAAAAGAGAAAACCAGAATCGACAATTATGAAGACAAATGTGGAAAATCAAAAACATGAAACCATTCCGAAGCCCTATCAACGTAATTACAACTGAAGCTAGTCAATGTGTTAGACCATTCAAATGTTTGAATGAGTAAAAATTTTCACTTATCTAGTAAGAAGTACAAAAATGTGAAAGGTTCAAATAGTTCCAACTGGAGTAATAAGGACAGATACTAATCAAGACATAAAATAACTCACCGTTAAAGAACCGAAAAATGTCCTGTTTTTCAGTATCATAAGGTAGCCCACGTAGACGTGCAAAATATTCCTTTCGGTTGGAGTTACCGGTGGGTTGCCATCCCATAGCCCGCTGCTTTTCAGATTCATCAGATCGAAACACTAAGCAATTAAGGATTAATAATTATCGTACCTTCAATATAGCGCTTTCCCATGTGCTTTTTATGAAAAGATAGAGCAGCTTCGAGCTCGTCGTCATTCTCAAGCTCGACAAAGGCTTCACCATTTGATCGTCCATTAGGGCCTTGTGGAAATGAGACTCCACGCTTTTCATTCTTGATTTTGACGTCTAATGCAATAAAATGCAAAATTAACATTACCTTTGAAAAAATTCACCACGTCCTCGGCAGTGGCCGAATAAGGCAACCCACGAATCCTCACAAAAGCAGCCATTGGAAATGCAAATACGAAAGATATAAGCAGAAAACAAAACAATTCGATGTGCTGGAATTTTAAAACAAATTTTACATTGTGTAAAAGAAAAGTATGTATAAGATTTATTTAATAAAAACAAAAGCGTTAATTCTTTCATTTTATTTTTCATAATAATTTAAGAAATTCGAAACTCAAGGGTTTGGTATTTTTCATTTATATCACACGGCAGGCTCCATGATAATTACCATTAGCCCTTTAGTTGACTTCGAACTTCACGGAAGGGAAGTGAATCACATTTAAAAAAGTCCCAAATGAATTAAAGTTAATGATCCAGTAGTCTTATTTTCACCTAATACTGTGGAATTCTTTTTGAAATATATTTATTAAAATTCCCTTATTTCGTTTTGAAACGTAAGATGATTAATCTGGTGAAATTGATTTATGTTCTGCAACATATTATTGGGCTATAATGCTGCATGTCCATGGTTAGAAATTATAGAAATTATGATTGTTAAAATATCATTTCACAAGTGCCAAATTACTCCGTTTCCAGGATTGATAAAATTCGATTACTTTTAGGATTTAATAGACTTCTGCCACTACCACAATTGCTAATCTAGTCAGATGAACTTTTCGTTAAATATTCGATTAATTAATAATATATCTTTTGTATATATCAATTTATCATGAAGAAAAAGTTTCACAATAATCTTTCAAAATTATTCAAAATTACTAATAGGTGGCCTATATTTTACCATAGTCCCTGAATTAGATTTTTCTTCTGAAATATAGCATAAAAGCAAAATTGTGAAATATAAACTCGACATGAGCAAGAAATAAAAACAACATAGAAACTTATTAATGTAGATCAGATCCTTCATGCCTTTAAGAAATGCATTACTGAGATATGGTACAGACGTGTAATTAGATTTCTAGTATAATTACCTCCCCGTCTTTGTAAAAACTGTCACTACATTATTGAATTTGAGAGAAGTCATAAAGTTCATTTGAATTTGACATAGTTTAAATAAGAGTGATTTAAAGTTTATTCTTTAATATTTTGAAAGCACGCAATCGTGCTAAAAAGACAGACATGTGCAACTTCATATTATTGACTGAATAAACATTTTGTAAGTGGTGTTGAGAGTTGAGCGTGCACAGCCCCATACGCTACCATCAAGACGCTTCAGTTAATTCAGTCCATTGTTGTCTCACCAGGTTGCTAGCAGTTTAAGTGCACAATTTAGAGCACTTTCCGTCCTCTCCTGAGCGTTTTTCTTAGGGGCGGAATACCATAGAACAAGATCATCTGCATGAATTAAGCACGGGCACTTTCTGTCCTCTCTTGAGCGTTTTTCTTAGGGGCGGCAGATCATCTGCGTAAAGTAAGCACTTGGTGCCCGTGAAAAATCATTTTTTCTTAGGGGCGGAATACCATAGAACAAGATCATCTGCATGAATTAAGCAATTGATACCCATGATCGACTGTACTAATTCGGTTATGCTATTGATGAAGACATTGAAAAGAGTGCGGCTTGTGACAGCTCCATGTGGAAGGCCTGTTTGTAAAAGATGTGATTTTGATAGAGCATTTCCATATCTGACTTTGCATGATCTTTGTCCAATGAATGCTTTTATCCAGTTTAGCATGTTATGCTTAATACCAATCTTTGCCAATTTTTGAATTAGCTTCTCTTTCCATACTAAGTCATATGCTGATTTGAAATCGATGAAAACAGCCGTAAGGATATTTCTTGCATCAATGGCATCTTTGATGTGTTGGGAGAAAGTGGCTACTTGTTGGTTCGTTGATCTTTGTGGCCTAAAACCTGCTTGATCACTACGAAGAATATTTTTGGTCTCAAGGAACCAGGTCAGCCTCCTGTTACCATTCTTTCCATAAGTTTATCCAGCACGCTTGTGAGGGAGATAGGCCTATAGTTGTCAAAATTGATAGGGTCTTTGCCCTTTTTTAGTACTGGTATTACTATGGCAACTTTCCACTGGTTAGGTACGAGACTGGTCTCTCAGATTTTGTTCAAAATCGTCAGCATGATTTGCTTGGCTTTTGGTCCCAATCTAATTAGAAATTCTGGATGAATACTCTCTTTACCAGGAGACTTTTTGCACTTTAGCTGTCTTATCGCAGCACAAAGTTTGCAAGGTCTGAATGGTTCAGTAAGTACATAATTTGGTGTTGCGTCTTCCTTAATTTCACCAAACTGTCTTACTTGTATCTTTAAATCTCTTGAAGATTTTCTAACAAATTGGTTTTTCTATTGCTTGTGGGAATAGAACCTAGCAAATTAGTTAGCTATTTCGGAGTCGGTGGTAAGCAGTTCGTTAATTAAGCCTATTGGTTCTTTCTTGGGTCTTTCACTGTTGTTTTGGAGGTTACCCAGGAATTTGAAAGTGCGTTGGCTATCACTTTGATAGTTGATATTTGAGATGAAATTGTCGAAGGAAGTCCGTTTAGCTTGTAAGATAACTTGTCTTAGAACAGCTGACTTTCGTCTCCAGGCTTGCACGCCTTCCGTTCTTCTAGTCTTTTTAGCTGTATTGCAAAGGTCGTCCCGCTTTCTTTTCAGTTCCTCAAGGAAAAATGAAGTTAGTGGACGGCTGATAAAGCTAATATGAATTTCTCTAAAAAACGCGTTCTAGATAGAATAATAACTTAATTGTTTCGTCAATATTCCCTTATTCCACACTACGATATCGACAATTAGATAACCCATTTTTTATCGTTAATTCTATTTATAATAGGAAAATATTTTTGAACTTGACAAAAACAGATTTTTAAAACTCTTATATATTAGCATTAAGCGATACCTGTTATTGCTACGCAATATATTTTATGGACTATATGTCTTAAAGAACCTTTAAACGGAAGCAACTCTCATCGTAAATATTTTTAAAGCTCATCAAAATCATAATTTTTTTGAAAATAGTATGCCATACCCCGTAGTACAAAAAAACACATTTCTTTATGCATAATTTAACCCAAATGCCAAATGGTGTACAGAGTGCATTCATTTACTAAACTCGAGTCTACCCTTATTCCGTTTAAAATATTTTTTTGGTATGTGATATTGCTGAATTTATTGGACTTTTAACGAATTCAAATATAATGAAGTTCAGAATATCAATTCAAAACAGATTTACCGGATTTGTTACCTATATTTACTCAGGTCAATAATAATTATATTCCTCAAAACAGCTTCCTCTGTAAATGTTTATTTATTTTTACGGAAATATGCATTTCTGTGAATCTGCATTATTTATGGAATATTTTTTGCTCTATTCTACAGTCATTGTCTATCCAGAATGGTCAACATACTCCATCTTGTATGAAAACCAATATTAATATTTATTTAATACAATTATTAGTAATAACATATATTATAAAAGATAAAATGGTGACAGGCTTAAAATTAAATATAGTTACCTTTGTGATTTGCTAATATACTAAATGTGGACTGATTTAAAATTTGATTTGTTACTTGGTTTACCAGATATTCATTTTTGACCTTGAGGTTCTGTCCACGTATTACTCAAAGTAATGGATGAAGTTGACAGTCTTATGAATGAAACCGTAGCTAATAATTCTACAGTAGCTTTTACTCCAGATGCCGGAATTTCCTCTGCTGCCTTGTTTTTTATGGCCATAATTCCTATTTACATCGGTTGCCATAAGTCCATCAAAGCGGTTGAAGAATCTATGAAGCAAGAATCCTCTGAATTAACCGTTTTAAAACCCAAAGAAGTGGCAATGTTTCCTGTGATTGCCTCTTGCACACTATTTGGTATTTTCTTGGTGTTTAAGGTTATTGCAGCCGAGCATATTAATATGCTCCTTTCCGTTTATTCCTTTATTTTGGGATGTCAAACTGTGTTCACTTTGTCGAGGTAATGTTTGGCTCATTATGTAATAATATATATCGTAGGCCTTTGTCAAGACTCCTTCCAAACTCTCTATCAACGACACGGTTTACTTTGACACTAAGGCAAACACATGAAGGGGATGACAGAGGTGGGAATTTCTGAACTTTTATTAAAAAAATCTTAGATATTGAGGATTTTAAATTTGAATTTGACAAACGAGACGCTTTGCCGTTTCTGGTAGCCATATCAACGAGCATTGCTTATGTTACTACCAAGCACTGGATGGCTAATAACATAATCGGTATTTCTATTGCGATTACTGGGATCCAGTATCTACACCTTGATCGTGTCATCAATGGATGCATTCTCCTTGGCGGTCTGTTTGTTTATGATATCTTTTGGGTATTCGGAACCGGTGTTATGGTTTTTGTGGCCACAAACTTTGATGCTCCAGTTAAAGTAGTCTTTCCAAGAGATTTCCTTACAAAGGGCTTCCTCTCGAAAAATGTTGGAATGCTTGGACTTGGTGATATCGTCATACCAGGAATTTTCTTAGCTATTCTTCTCCGATTTGACGCCAAGTACACTTGAAATTTTCAATTCAAGATTATAATTTTTCCTTCTTTATCGATAGGCTTAACAGAAATGGGAGTCGATTGTATTTCTGGACCGGTTATATCGCTTACATCATTGGTCTTCTTTTAACCTTCATTTTCATGTACACCTTCCGACATGCCCAGGTAAGCTTTTTGATTTTTGTCTCATTCTCTCTCTCTCTCTCCGCTTTTAGCCCGCCTTACTCTATTTGGTCCCAACTTGTTTGGGTTTCCCTCTTGCCATGGCGCTCGTTAGGGGAGATTTCGAACAACTCATGGCGTAAGAACGACTTATTTTTCACAGTGCTTGTTTTTTTTTGTAGTCGGAATGTGTGCTAATACCTGTGTGGATTTTTTATTTTAGTTACAAAGACATTCCCGAAGAGGTGGAGGCGCGCATTAAGGCATTGAAGGAAGAAAATGTGAAGAAAAGTGAATAGAAATCTCCTAAACGTACTATCTCTCTTTTGTATTCGTCTTTGCCTGTCCTGTGATCGTCTATTTTGGAAAAAAGCCAATATCACCTTTTACTTTGTTCAATTTTTGTGGAGTTTTGAACCAGGGATACAGTGTTCTTGAACCTCCACTCTTATAATAGATTTTTCGTGTGATCCGAGTTACGTTCGCTAATTGAAGTTCACTTAGAGTAAACTTACTTGAATACTTCTATGCTATAACCATGGTTGCTCCCATCATCCTGTTCACAAAATAAACCAATTCGTTCAATCGATTGCGGAATAAGTTCATTTTTACTAGTCGATAATACCAACGCAAAATGGATCGATTAGAATTAATGGCAAACATAAATTTGGAAAGGTTCTAAGTTCAACTGATTTAAACTCACTCGTTTATGGAAACCCCCCCCCCTCCCTCTCTTTCATTCTGCAGTTTCTGGCCTGTCCATACGCGAGATCAGAGGTCAAGGATTCAATGCATGTCGGTGCTCATCCATTGAGCAGAATAGTCAACCAAGCTGGTTAAGTTTATCGGCTCTTGTTAGTAGTAGGGGTACTCACGTCGAGAGTGCAGTAATTACCCGCCTGACAACTTGAGCGATTAGAGAGCTTAGAATTCGCGCAATTCAGGCTAAAGTTCTACATATTTTCCTTCCGCCAATCTCGAAGATTTTTTACTATTATCCTGTATGTGGAGCAGATTTCTACACTAATACGCCTTGATACTATACTCTGTAATGTCTATGATGTCATTCTTCCAGACGCGCTCAATATTTATTTATATTTATTTATTTCAAATGGCAGGCGTTTTGATAGCTATCATTTGCCCTTTAGCTGACTTCGGGCTTCACAGGGGGAAGGAACATCAAGGTAACAGAAAGTCGAGGGATGGGGAACAGAAGAGTGGTTTACAGATGTAAAAGAGACAGACACAAAGTTAGAAAAAAGGTGAGGTGAGTACTGTGAAGGTGCGAATATGACATACCGTGGGGTCATGGTAGTTGAAAGTCAGAAGTCAACTGCGATAGACTTACCTCCACGTGGTGCACCCTGGGCAACGTATATTCATACGGCAAAAAAGTCTATTAACTGGCAGTTGACGCGCTCAATATCGATAAATGCAAAATATATCAGTAATTGATCAGTTTGCTTTCACCCCTTAGCCAACAAAGGTATGTGGAAAAATAATTTGTTCTAACTTGATTAAGCCCTAGTAATTTTTACCACAAATTGCAGGTGCTCAATTAACTCACCTCGGACATATGGCTAAGACACGACGCTTTCAACGCAATATTTGCCGAGTGAGTGGGAAAAAGGCATGGACATAACTGCCTTAAAGGTGCTCTCCTCCACCTCCTCCTCATTAAGACCGCTTTTCTACCTATTTTTTAGAGCGTTTAGTGGAGCAAGCTAGTGGGATAATGTTGTAGGCGATGGTTTAAAAGATCAGCGATTGCCATAATAACACTTTTCACACTCTAGTTCTAATACATTTAACTGCAGGGGAATATAAACGCGCAGAACCATTAGTTATTGAGAGTAACCCTTTAATACACACCCATTTCTTAGGCCATAAAACGATGCCATGTCAAAGCACGCTCATATTCCATTTGAATGTGATTTGCTATTGAAACCAAGGAGAAAGTAGAATGACTCTCTCAAGCTGATTTTGGGGAAAAACTTTTGCCATCTCTGAGCTTTTTAAGATACTTTTCGTTCATTTCAAATGGCAGGCGTTTTGGTAGTCATCATTAGCCCTTTAGCTCACTTCGGACTTCACAGAGAAGAGGAGGAACATCAAAGTAACAGGAAGTCGAGTTGTGGGGAACAGAAGGTTGATTCACAGATGTAAAAGAGACAAACAGACACAAAGATAGAGATCAAAGTAAGATGAGAACTGTGGAAGTGGTGGATTATGACATACAGTGGGGTGATGGTAGTTTGAGTCAGAAGTCACCTGCCGGTTGATAGACTTTTGTGCCGTATGAGTATACGTTGCCCTGGTTGCGCCCCGTTTTTAATATTAATATAAGTTTTGTGGAGAGGACAACGTTGCAGAACAAAGCAGTCTTATCGATCGAATAGGGAGCAGGTGCGGTCGTGAGAGCAGAGACCTCTCTACCAGCCACCAATCAATAATCCTCACATTGTTTAACTAGCCCAGATAAGCATGCTCCGCACTACAC